GCTCTGTTCAGCACCCTGCTATGGCAATTATGGATGTATTTTTACACTTTTGTCCTCACACTTTGCTGCCATTAAAAATATACTCTAAAATGAAGCAAGTTTTAACTTGCAAAATTTAATTAAGCATGCTTTTTTGTGGGCTTTGTGATATCTCATGTTGTGACAAGAATATAGAGCATTATTTATAAACCAATCATTTACATTGTTTTTATAAACATGCAGAAAAGGAGAATAACAGGGTGGTTTTATCACTTAGCTTTTAATGTGCTTAGTGAGCCATTTCCCCCTAATGCATCACTTACTTACCAGCACTGCATCAAATTATAGTAGTTTAATTTCAGTCTATCATTGGATCAGTTCTGGTTTTTGTTGGCATTGCCATATGAAAAGTGTGAAATTTTGATAGCTGTGCTTTTGTCTTTTATATATTACAGATAAACTATGCATATACCTCAGTAAGATTTCCATGACCGTTCTTGTGTTTATCTTCTTCTAGTTGCCCCATAGGAAGCACTAGTGACCACTGATGTTTTTGCTTCAGTTTCTGCCTTGAGGTAAGACTCTGACAGTTGCTTCTAGACCATGAGAGACCTATAGGTTCTTTCTGAAATGTACACATGCTTTACAACATAACTATTCAAATTCTGGGCATCCATGCCTGAGCAAACAAAACAAATTTCTTCAGACCATGCTTCTGCCTGACTGCCCACACGATGAACACAAGTCCACTTTGATAAGAGAAACAACATTACTAATTAACTTCACTTTCAGAAAATTATCCCAGAAAAATAGAGTTTACCTAATTACATACAAGAATGTGTAATTGCATAAGTATTTGTGCTGCCATCATGAAAGACCTGGCAAAGTTAGGCATTATCCACACACGAGTTTTAGGTGAAATTTTGCACTCATGTAATGGAGTTAATTCTTAGTAGTGTGTGCTGATTTTGTCTGTCATAGAGTTAATTTTCTTCACAGTAGCTGGTATGGGGCTATGTTTTGGATTTGTGCTGAAAACAGTGTTGATAACACAGGGATGTTTTCGTTACTGCTGAGCAGTGCTCGCACAGAGTCAAGAAATGACGTCATGCTCAGCATATAAAGCTGGGAGAAGAAGGAGGAAGTAGGAGGGACATTCGGAGTGATGGCGTTTGTCTTCCCAAGTAACCATTACGCGTGACGGAGCCCTGCTTTCCTGGAGATGGCTGAACACCTGCCTGCCGATGGGAAGGAGGGAATGAATTCCTTGTTTTGCTTTGCTTGCATGCATGGCCTTTGCTTTACCTGTTAAACTGTCTTTATCTCAACCCACAAGTTTTCTCACTTTTACCCTTCTGATTCTCTCCCCCATCCCACCGGGGTGGGGGAGTGACCAAGTGGCTGTGTGGGGCTTAGTTGCTGTTTGGGGTTAAACCACGACATAGTGTGTGCACGAACTAATAATAGATATTAACAATGACCCCAAAGGCTTGCAATTTTTCATTAACATATTATAGAGGATGGTATCCTCAGAACAGTATCAATGAATGGAGAGAAAGCGTAACACAGCTATTAATTAATTTGGTAGAGACACAACACTTTTGTAACCCTTGAGTGGAAAGGAAGTAAGTAAGAAGGTTAGTATCTGTTATGGTTAACAGCCTTTTTCACATCCCACAGTGCACCAGTGTTGCCATCCCACCGTGCAGCTGAGGGGGACAACTTAAGGGCAGTTTGCAACATGCCCAGTGCAAGCCCATCTGCATCAGTATCACAGTAACTAACAAGACTACCAGTCATTCATTCTTTAACATACAGATCATTCAAACTAAGGTCCATGCATAAAACATGGGATTTTGGTTTACCATCCTCAACAGGATTTCAGTGTGACAATTTATGTAGTGTTATTAAACATAGGTAAATGCCTTGTATTTTGACCCATGGTAGTCTCCTCATTAGTACAGCCAGGAGAACAAAAACTAATATTCAACAGCATTTGTCAACACAACTGTATATAATAACCAAGTTCAACTCTGCTATGACATGGACTAGTTCTATTCTACTATCTTCAGAAGTCCTTATTCTTTTGAATAACCTTTATGTCCTGGTTTCGGCTGGGATAAAGTTAATTTTCTTCCTAGTAGCTGGTACAGTGCTGTGGTTTGGATTTAGGATGAGAATAATGTTGATAACACACTGATGTTTTAGTTGTTGGTAAGTGGTGCTTACACTAGCCATGGACTTTTCAGCTTCTCGTGCCCTGCCAGCCAGGAGCTGGGGGGGGGCACAGCCAGGACAGCTGACCCAAACTGGCCAAAGGGCTATCCCATACCATATGACATTGTGCTCCGTATATAAACTAGGGAGAGTTAGCTGGGGGGTGGTGACCGCTGCTCGGGAAGTGACCGGGCATTGGTCAGCAGGTGGTGAGAAATTGCATTATGCATCACTTATTTTGTATATTCTTCTATTATTATTATTTTACTTAATTTTATTTCAATTATTAAACTGTCTTTATCTCAACCCACGAGTTTTCTTACTCTTTTTTTTTCCCGATTCTCTCCCCCATCCCACTGAGCAAACGGCTGTGTGGTGTTTAGCTGCCTGCAGGGTTAAACCATAACACCTTGGCATGGATTAGTAGACAAGACACAGAATTAAACCAGCAATTTGTGGAACTTCTGTTTTTCAAGTAGTTTGGTATACATGATCTTTACTTAAGTCAAGTTTTTCCAACTGTGTATAGTCAAAGAAAAATCACAAAGAAATCATCATTTTATGAGAATATGTAAAGCCACTATACATGATCAAATTTGCTTTGATTTGCTCTGGTCGTTATCTGCTGAAAATTAGTGGGCCTTTGGGTGGAATGGCAGGAGAGTATGCTCTGCTTCAAGAAGTGAGTTAGGTTACCAGAAAGTTATAAGGTATTGGGAATCTATACTGAATTTAGGAGTTTATTAATGCCAGTTAATGAAATCTACAGTTTTATAAATTGTTTTAAGGTAATTGCAGGGATTTTCTGTTTGTCCACACATTACTGGAAGAAAGAGAATTCAGGTACTTGAAGGAGCTGACTACTCTGTTATTAGTCGAACATTCCCCATGAAGAAAATTACCTTAGGGTTTTTGGGTTTTTTTCCCCAGACATCACACTGTTTGCTCACTGCCCTTATCAGAGTTGGGACACTGAGACATAGCAGGACAGTCACTGAATATTTTCCCAGGAATAAGTAAGGAAGATGTGTGTAGCTTTACAATTAAATATTAATTCCAACACCATTTAAAGACAATACCTTTCTAGACTATCTGAGGAAAGATCATTTTTACATATTCAGAAGCAGCCATCAGCAGAAACGGGTGGGTGGTTTCTTGTTACTAGTCCTCTTTAATCCTGCTTCTTTTTTCCTCTTCTTTTTTGAAAGGTAGTGCAGATTTAAGTGAAAAATAACCATCAACTTTTCCTTCTCACTCCTAGTGTAAAATGTTCTTTTTGTAGCAATATACAAAAATAAATACCAATGAATAACAAAGCAGCTGCACAACTACGAGCAAAAGGTCTCTCTTGCCTTGTCACTGAATGAAGAAAACTTGATTGCTGGCCATGCACACATCCTACACGTCATTTTATGTTCAGTTTTACACCATAGCAGTAACAAAGCATTTTTCCCACTTACAAATAAGTCATACTTCAAGACTGTTCTTTATTCAGACACCTCTGGTTCTTCCTCTAACTCCTCCTGAATTTTGCTAGATCCTGATTCTTTTCCAGTTTAAGCCTAAAAAAATCAGTCATGCAAAACAGCATCTCTGTGAGCAAAATTCACATTACAATAGGTGCAGCAAGGGGCAGCAAGGACTGTTGTTGCAATTCTTTTGCCAAACTTAAGGAAGCACCATGGCCTATGCCAGCAAGTGGGAGCCTTCCTCCAAATCACTTCCATCCATATAAATCTGAAATAACTTCAGGCAAGAGTCACAGTAGTTCATCTCAAAGCAAAGTAATAAGAATGTTGATGCTATTGCAGCCTGATGTATTGATTGTGTATTACCAGCAGAAGATGTCCTTTCACATATTTTCTTCAAATATCAACCTTCAGAGTAAAACCATGACCTTTCATCTGCAACTGTTGTTAATTAAGCTCAAGGAAAACCTGTATTTCATTTGTAGGGAAAGAAATTGATCAGTCCAAGCAAATTTTTCAATATCCCTAAACTCTACAAATTTTAGAGTTCAATCAATGATTGAAAAATGGAGAAGGTGTCTCAAGGAAACTGGAAACCAGTCAGATTTTATTACATATTTCAAAATACTCCACAAAGCTATCATGCAGCCTATAGACCACAGAACAATGGAAAAGGATTTTATTTTCCTTACAAAAGGATTCTCCTCCAAGTGCAGGCAGTTGACTCAGTAACATGTATTTACTATGCTCTTGTAGACTGATATTTGTTGCACATTTTTATACATCCAACAAGCTTGAAGAGCGATTTCTTTATTACAGCATACAACTACTTATATGAAATATGTGAGCTTCCATAAAATGCTTCAGCAGCCAGGACATTCATTACAAACAGAAATACAGAATGAGTCTTACTAAAGCAAGAACCTATATTTCGCTGTAAATAGCGTCTTCATCACCAGGGAACCATCACAAACACTGGCAGCACACAGAAATATAGTTCTATTTGATACAAATTTACTTGTGGAAAACTAAATGAACAAGGTTCTTATTCTGCAGAGTTCAAAGATGCATTAAAGTCTTATTAATGTTGAAGTACAAGGACATGGAAAGAAGATAGGGAAATTCTTTCAGAGCCTTCAGTTTTATAATCTGCCAATCAAGTGTCAATCTATTGGAGCACAAACTTTGTTCCATCAACAGATGTAGCTCTTGTGATCTGTTGCTTCATATCTATGCATACTTGGGTTAACAGTGTGCATCAGGTGGCCCAGGGCAGATATCAGACATTTGCAAGCAGAATACACAAAGTTTTCAATCCTGTGGCTGATATAAGGAGTGCTACACTGAAGTGAAATGCTTGCAAATAATTTGTTTTCCTTTAGTGACTGGATATAAATAAGAAACTAGACTCCAATGAACAACATTGGGGTAATTTTAATTCTGCTTACGTCTGATGTATCACTTCTTTTAATGGCTGAAAGAGAGTTTCCTTGTTTCCTGTGAAACCCTCTATAATAATGAAGTTTTTCTTCAGAGAGTTACAGAAGTATTTATCAAAAAAATGACAAAAGCTTAAATCGTTAGAAATACATGTTCAAAAAGTTGTATCATTTGTATATGTAACTATCTCAGTTTGTGGCCTGTTCTGTATTGATCTCTAGAACTCAAGATACTCTCCCAGAAGCAGGAGGGAGGATTTTTTCAGATAAGTGATGTATCAGATGGCTAACAAAACAGAGTTCAGAAGATCACAAGACACACTCTTACCCCAGTCAGCAAGCCTCGTACCTGTAAGAGGGGCACATCTGGAGAGCAGCACCACTTCAGGACAAAGCTGGGGCTAGGGAGCACCTGCAAAAACAGTGTACCCCGAGAGATCAAAAGAAGAGTGGGTACATTAGCAAAAGTGGAAAAAAATCTGTATAGGACACGATTGGTAGAGTTTTACTTCGTAACAAAACAGACCCAATCTTTGTTCAAAACATCACACATCAGTGCTGCAGTTCAGAATTAGTGACATTTCTATTCATCCACAGGAAATTCCATCCGAACAATCTATACTGGCTCACAACAACATTACATTACACTTCTAATTTTTGGGGAAATGTAGGCAAGCACCTTCACATTTTCTTCTGTATTGCCCCAGTGAACAAACTTAATAAGTGAGAGCATATATATTGCTAAGCCCCCACCTTATGCTACCAAATACCCTCCTCTGTTTCCCTCACAGGCCAGAATACATACAGAAAATTGCTATTTTGCACCCACTAAGTGGCAGATTGTGGTAAATTTACTTAGCACTTATGTATTAACACTCTGGACCTGATAACAGCTGTGGAAGGCCCCATGCACCTCAACAGGCTTCAAGTTCACAGCTGAACTAGGGTACAATTTTTACTGCCAACTGCCATGTCATCTTTCCCCTTCCAAACTCCTTTTCATTGGTCATAAGTGCAAGATACAACACAGACGACCATAATAATCTGCATAGCACCTCAAATGAAAACCAGGCTGAAGCCTGAACTCTGTCATGGTAGTAATATAAATAATATTTATTCAGTGCTCCAATTAGTCAACTGCGTTTTTAAATAGCAGCAAAACAAGGACAACTTATCAATTCATCAAACTTATGTTTAATGCATAGCCAAATGTACCATGAAGCAAGACAAACACACTCATAATGAACACACAGATTAATGAACCGAAGAACTCACATAACCTTTCTCGGCCAAATGATTTCCTACTCAACAAGCTATCTGAATGAGGTAAATGTACCTTTTATTAAGTAAAATATTATTCAACATGTCTAGAAGTAGTAAGATCTGGTCCCCAAGTAGAATATTTATTCATGCATGCATTTATGTTAATAAAAATGTTAGGTTCTCACCTAGACTTTGGGCATCCACTACATAAATTTAAGAACTCCTGTAGTTATAAAATACAATATAATAAAGAGAACTCTTCTCAAATTTCTTCTGCCTTAGCCATCACCCATATAAAAGAAAAGTAGAATTATATGGTAAACTCTTAACACAACTGATACTTCCAGGAAGAATTAATTATAAGCAAATGTGTAACACAAGCAAGGAACAATTTAATCAATAAAACGATTTATTTGAAAAGCACTGCTGTATTTTAAAAACTACAAAGTTGTACTTGATAACTGCCAGGGATACTTACCATACTGACAAAAACAGAAATCTAAACAAACCAGTTGCACATCAGAGTAACCGTTAGTGAACTCACCCAGCTTTTTAGCATGTAACCAACACCCAGAATTCAGAAGTTTCTGCAAATTTTACTCCAAATACTAGTAGTAGGATAATGAAGTCCTAGTCATTGACCAGACAGCCAGTGAGAAATTTGCACTAAGGCAGCCTTTTTTCCATAGGCCTTATTTCTGATTAATTAAGTTGTTGACAATTTTGTGAGAACATGATGAAGAGCTCAAGCAGCAGTTCCTACCACGATAGGGGCACCACCCTTTTCCTCAAGAGAAGACACCTTGAAAAGCTGTTGTGATTAAGAGAGAGTTACACTGGAGACAAATGTTTACACCTCATGTGGAACTAAAACTTTACAACCTCTATATTGTTTTGGTTACTCCTTGATGCACAGAGAAACCCCTCACAACATCCATCCTCAGGAGATGGTCACAGGAGGTCCTGAGTGGGCATCACAGGCCCCACTGGATTCCACTGTCTCTGCTTGAGACCCTCCATCATAAATACATAATCCCCACTCTTCTACTCCTATGACCAGCAGTTGAACCACTTATTGTCTCACAGATGCCTACAGCCTGAAGGAAAAGTTTGATTTCTCTTTGTATTATGCAGGTTGCTTTTCATAGCTTAGAATAGATCCGCAAGTAAATAGGCAAGGCTTAAAAGGGGGAAATGCAAACAGAGTGCAGCTGTCTTCCTAATAACCTCCAATAAAGTCTTCTACTGGGATGTTCTCCAACCTACAAATACTTTCTGTGTAGAATATAATTAAAAAGAGAAGCCTCATAACTGTCCAAACATTTTCTTTATAGACCATGTCCAGAAAATGTTGCAGCATTCCCAGAGGAGCAAATAGAAAGACTTTGATGGAGAGACATTCACTGAGAGCAGACATTCTGAATTGGATGTTTTCCTTCTGGAAATTTCTTCTGTTTCATAGACATGGTGATGTGGTAAACCTTATCAAAAGTGGTGTTCTCAGGAAGGAATTATTTGAATAAGTTTTTATGTCAGCAGTTTTCCATTATAGCATACTAACTAGCAACAGCAATGGCTGAACAATACACAACGCTTGGAATATAGTAATGAATAATACCTGAGCCTCCCAGCACCTTAATTCTTTCTCTTCCAGTAATGTGTATATGTACAAAGAATCCCTCCAATATCCTTTAAAACTAATTTACAGAACTGTAGCTTTTAGTACTGTAATGATAAACTCTCAAATTACGAATGCGTTCCTGCTACCTTATAACTTTCTGGTTACCTAATCAACTTCTTTAAACAGACCCACAGCAAGCTCTCCTGCTGTTCCACCAGAAGGTCTGCTAATTTTCAGCAGGTAATGACCAGCACAAGTAGGACAAAACTAGGGCTGGGGTTTCAGCCAAACATCTGTGGCAAAAGTATTAGAACCATGTTCAATAAAATACTTTGTGCATTTGTGTCAATTGCACCACATTAGTCAGTTTTGAGGAAAAAAAATTCAAAGCAGTAATTGATTAAAATTCTTTCTGAATTTCACTTCAATATTACTTTTAAAATGCAACATTTCAAAAGGTAGAAATATTTTTTTCCTTCTTCTCCCAAGCTTTTGGAACTTCCAGGATGTCAAAAATATGTCAGTTATTCACACTGTTCAAGACACCCATTGTACTGTTCAGAAAAGCATACTTGACTTGCGAACACCTTGCATACATAAACTATAATGAACTAATGAACTCAGAATTCCTATCTAGTCAAATACCTCCAAAACAAACATTAAAAACCAAATAAACAAAAACAAACCTTCAAAGAGCAGTTTTGTGTAGGGAATAGAAAGGAAACAAATCTTCGGAGTTCTTGCTTTAACTTGTAGGAGAAATCTTGCTGTGGAACTAGGTAATATAATAAGAATTTGGGCTATATTAATCTGAAGCACCTTAAGATCCAGATTCAACCCAATTTGTTTCAATTTATGCCCCATGTGCTCTTGTGTATGATGAGCTCCTAGACAGAATCAGAGTCCATATCATGTTTGCCATCCAAAATTCAAGAATAAATAAATCTGCAAGCCATACAACATCATCAGTGGCTTCCTCAAAAAAAGCAAGCTTAATTTCAAGGAATTACTTTAGGCACACTCTTTCAAAATAAGGGAAAAGATGAGGAGGGATACAACCTTGTGAAAGTCAAATAACAGTCCAAAGGATTTTCAGAAAAATTATGCCTAACGTCGCTACTCAAAAAGAAGTTCAGTGTCACCTGCTGTACAAGCTGGTTTCCATTCATAATGCTTAGAACTGTGTCGCACTGGATACCTGCTGTAAGAATCACAAAACCACTTCTAAGAAGGTGATGAGATATTCCAAATCAGTGGTAGTAAGAACATACTGCTATGCATAATGGGCCCCAAGAGATATGAAAAGAAACCTTCTTCACAGTATACACTCTAACTCCTTCCTCCTAAAAGTATCTGGTTTATGTCTCTAAATATATTCAAGTACAATTATGGTTACATATGCTTTAAAAACCTTTAGTTGTAGCTGCAGCAGCAGCCGGTCTTACATAACCAATTACATACACAGTACTTGTGTGAATACATACAAAGTATTTAATAACTTTAAAACCTTTCACATAATTGAGTCCTTGCAAGCAACAATTTTATAATGACATTGAGTTTCACCCCCAAGTTATTGATATATTTCTTGTCTGAACAGAAAGCCACCGTAGTAGGCAATCCATAGGCTGGGAAAACTGGCTTCAAATCCATTCTTCCCACCGCCAGTGCACAAAAGAGCATGGTGGTCCTGGTTAGCCCACCCTATCCTCAGCAAAGGCCTGGTATGACTGTCCATGCCCCTTACACTCATCCTCTCTAGTCCATGCCAAGTGGACTGCAGTTTACATTCACGATTAAGATACTATAAATCTCTGTGTGGAGGTGTTTATTTCAGCTAGAGTAGCAGCTGACAATTCTCTTTGGAGAGACTATCCTGCCAGGCATGACGTGAAAACGAAACAGAAGGCAAGTCCTACTGCAAGTATTTTACACTGTAAGTTTCTCATAAGTCATAATTGAGCTAAACTTCTTGGCTTTTCTACCTGTGTTCCCATGGTTGTCTGAATGGATTTAGTTTGTTATTTCATGTCAGAAAATGGGAATCTTAAGATGCCCAAGATAAACTTTATAAAAATCACATTACATTTTTCAAGATATTATTCCCATTTATGTAAGATAGCATTAAAAAAAATAAACAAACCCCAAACCCACCCAAAAAAGACCGTGATCATATAGAGAAGTCATTAAATAAAGCCCATGAGACTAGACTAATAATCATCTGACTCTTTTAATAGAAGATGTTTTTCCTTTTATGATGGCAGGGATGGATAGCAGTTGCTTTTCAGTGAAAGACTAAGATTGCTCGACAAGAGACATACTCAGTAAGCAGGTCATATTTCTGTTCTTATTTAACACTTATGTGCAAGGGGAAGTAACAGAATGACATATTGTGCCAGCTGGTGTTTAAATATGCACTGTCACAATCCTGCTCCAGGGTGTACCAAAGTGGACTTTAAAGAATAATTGAAAATTACACAATAAAGCTTTGGGAGGAAATAGTCACATTATAACAGACTATACAAGCAATT